GTGGTGTTGCAGTTAGGACGATTCCCTCCATGATTTCCGGAATTGCTGATTTTAACGAAATAATTGTAACAGTACATTGAAACTTCCATGATTTCCATTACTACGGTACCATCACTAGCTAGATGGGCCTACCTCTATTTCAAGCAAGCTCTCTTGTCTGACGCAACCTTTTGTGAATGCTGCGGCACTCTCTCTATGAAATAGGCCATAGTCGTGACCATATGATCCCTTGTATCAGAAGCAAGGGTGGGTAGGTGCGCAATAATATTCACCGCTTGCTTACTGAGACTGCCGTTCAAAGAATTTATTTACGTTATTTAATTGGACAATTCATGTGAATGGTCGCACTTAATACGTCATCTTCCAATGAAAAACCTTCCAATGGAATATGTCATTGGAATGGCTGGATGGCTGAAATGTTTTGGACGTCCAATGACCTTCCAGTATTCCAATGAGCATCACTGATGTACAGTACATGTACTTCGTAATTATAGTAATACATGTACATGTAGTTGGTCGGGAAGTTATATTTGTTGGGAAGTTAGATTGACAGGATGCTAGATTGTCGGGAAGTTTGGGGTATGTCAGGATGTTGGATTATCGGGATGTTGTGTTTTCGGGATGTTATGGATAGACCCCATTATTTGATGTCATATTGTAAAATAAAGTTTATTGTCCAAACGCAATATACAATATTATCTGAATGTAATATAAAAGGTTCACTGTCATACTGCAGTAAATGATCTCAACCAATCCATTAAACGTCAAGTCCTATATATGCACTAAATTTAGTTTATGTAGATATTGATGAAGGGAATGTGTTTTATCATATATCAAAAAGAATTATTTTATACATGTATATTATTTTAATATGAATAGTCACCGGGTAAGTTTCTTTTGCAATACAAGTAATTTAGATAACGAGGAGTTTCGCGTGTAAATCACATATTGGTGAATCGTGTGATCCCATGAAAACTGCTCAATCCTCCAATTTTAGACCAGTAGATAAAAAAACCTAATCGAGAAATTTGTGACGTACTCCCTTTTTAAATGAGTCCGGATGTGCAAATTTATTACATGATAGCGGCTATAATAAGTGAGGTGGGAATGAATACTTTGCATTTTCAATAGCACTTAGAACATAGGTTAGTACTCGCTATTTCGAAATATTAATCATATTGACATTTCGAATATTATAGGTTCTACATATTTGTTTGTTCAATACAAAGTTAAAACTACTATTAATATTAATTTTTAATTACAGTCGTCAATAGATTTGTGACTATATACCGTAAAAGTGGTCCTAGCAATAGTACCTCCCTGCACTATTTTTGTATAAGATCCGGGTACTATACATAGATATCGTATAAAATTTGGCTTTGAAAAAATGCCATCTGACATGATGTGCCGGGTTAATTTGAATAGCAAATAATTTACACATATTCCATTCTGTTTGTTTTAAAAATTTCGTTTTATACCGACATCTAATATATATCAGAATTTTCCGGGTCCTAGAAAATTTGAGAACATATACTTGTCCCACCCTTGATCTATAGTATCCTTATATAAAGTATCCACCCTGATGCGATAAAAAGTATCTGTACCTTGGATACATGAGATCACTTTTTACGTAAAGGATTTTAATATAATGATTAATGATGTAATAAAAGGGACTTAACAAAAATGTGACTATAACTACCGTAATTTGCTGCATAAACCACCCAGAGTCTCTTACTTTAAACCTGCTTGAAAATTGATTCAGACCCGTGGGGTCTCTTGTATGGGGGAGGGTCTTTTATTGGGGGGAACTTGTATTTAGGGGGTCTGATATTAGGGGTCTTTTGTACGGAAATGATCTTAAAGATATTTTTCAACTTTAACTTGGGTGAGTAATAAATTCATGTAATGTTTGTAATTAAACGATATATAAATTATCTTTATATTAAGGTCAAATGGTTTGCAATATAAACAATCAAAAGTAAGCTATTGTAACTAGGAAAAAAAAGCGTGGATGAAAAGCTCGGAAAAAATTAGCTATATTAACATATTTAAGGAAAAATTCTGATGTTAGTATTTGAAATACAGCCTTAAAATTTGACATTCAACCCAACCAAATATGAGATTGACGAAAATAACTCAAGTCATATTAAGCGTCTCAATATTGGATTTCATCCAAAATATCCTGCACTTGAAACTGAACTAATTGATTGGGTTCGAGAATTGCGAAATCAACAAAAGATTGTTTCTCATTATATGGTATGGAACAAGGCAAAAGGCTTGGCTTGCAAATCCCAATTCATTACAATGTATCCATCAATTACTGAATGCAAATGGACTGAAAAATATTTAGATGGATTTATGCGTCATTATAATCTAAGTAATCGTCAATGTACAACTATTGCACAAAATTACCTAAGGATTTAGAAGAAAAACAACATGAGTTTTTAAGCTTTGTTCTATATCAGCACATTCAATATGATTATCCTTTAGCACTTATTGGCAACATGAATGAAACACCAATATGATTTGACATGCCAAGTACTATTACAATTAATAAAAAAAATGTAAGTACCATTAGTATTCACGCATGTGGACATGAAAAATCTCACTTTACCGTAGTGCTTACATGTTGGCTAATGGAATGAAACTACCACCAATGATTATTTTCAAACTTACTAATATTCCACGTTAAACTTTTTCAAATGGTGTTATAATTCATGCAAATAGAGAAGAATGGATGAATGCTGATGAAATGTTATGGTGGATAAAGAATATTTGGACCCATCATGCAATGTTAGCTATACATTCACAATCTTTATTAGTACTTGATTCTTTTAGAGGACATTTAACTGATCCAGTAAAATGACGATTAATGAATACAATACCAATATTGCAGTCATTCCTGGGGATTAACTTCAAAATTACAACCTCTTGATGTGGCAATAAACAAGTCTTTCAAATCAAAGGCAATTAAATATAATTCTTTGAATTGATATCAAGTTATTTATATTTATTTATATTAGATTCAAAAACTTTATAATGAATAGATGGCTGAAGAAATAAAAAAATTAACACCCACTGGTCGTATACAATGTCCTGCCTATCATACAATTGCAGAATGGTTGATATAGCATGGAGAAATATTGATTCAGCGCTCATTCAAAGATCATTCAAATGCTATGGTATATCAAATGCGCGAGATGGTTCTGAAGAAGATCTTATATTTTATTATGATCAAGTTAGTGAAAATAAACTGCAAAGTAATAGTCACATATTTGAAGATGAAGAAAATAATAATACCAATACAATGGAGAGAGTACAAGTATCTTGGCAGATGAATTATTAATAAGTGATGAAAATGGAGAGAATTCAAGTATCTTGATGGATGAATTATTGGCAGGTGATGAAAATGAAGAGAGTTCAAGTATCTTGGCAGGTGATGATATCACTTAGGATAATGAGAATATAGAGTATTATGAAAGAGAATCTCTCAATTATTCCAATCTTTGGAACTAATTGTGATGTGAGGATTAGAATAAAAAATAAAGAATTATTAGTTTTAGTTACGAGTTGAGTTATAGTTTAATACATACATTGTAATAAATAAAATTTTTAATATATACAGTATATATTACGATTACTCAACTATTCTTCATTCGCAAAATGGCAGTATAATGATCATTACATGTTTACTACCCCCTAAACTCTTATCACCACACTATAGACCCGGGTCTTTTACTTTCAACGTCTCACCAAATCCATGATTCAGATCCGGGTCTATTAAATGGGGGTCTACTATAATGGGGGTGGTTTATGCGGCAAATTACGGTATGTTGCAAATATACGCGACTTTAGAGTGGGATGACTGTACCAAGTTATTCTTAATTTATCATCATTTCTTTGATAATAAAAAGATCTCGATTGCATAAATTATACTTTCTAAAATTTACAGTACCTCTATTCAATGGGTCAACCCAACATCCCGATACCCAAAATCCCGAAATTCCAACATCCCGACAACCCAACATCCAGACAAAAGCCAACAATTAGAAAGGGAAGAATTATTAATTATCGAGCAAATCGTTCAGTGTTAGATTTTCTTTGTGGAATTGTGCACAATCTTCTTTGTAATGATATGTGTCGCTTTTATTCATTTATTTAACTTTTTATTATAGGTAATTAAAATTTACGTTTAATTCCCTTTTTATGATAAATCAGTTAGTTATTAACGAATTAAAAATAAAGTTGCGCAATTGTCAAGAATTATTTATCGCGTGATGTTTAAATGTTAATAAATGCTAGCGCTAGTTGTCGATCCTTATAATGGATTAGTTTGTCGGGGAAGTTGGGTTGTCGGGATGTTGGATTTCGGGAAGTTGGTTGGAATTTCGGGAAGTTGGGTGTCGAGATGTTGGGCGGCACCCATGTGCATGCACAGAAAGTATCACCCGATTTTAAATTATATAATAAAATATATATAAAATGGAAATAATTACTAAAAGAAATATGAATGTGTATATAGCTTTGAAAATTTATGATATAAAATTTAGAAATAATAGAAAAAACATGAATATGCATATAGCTTGAAATTTTCCATTTTTTATATGTCTTACTATATAATTTTGAATCGGGCAATACTTTCTGTAGGTATTGTGAAATTTCCTTTTACAGGAGTTCATATTTTCTCTTGTATTTCTATTGTAATTTTATCTGGATCTGACAACGTATTTTCTTTTGTGATTATGTGATTAGTTGTCGATGATTTGGTCGGGATGTTTTGAAATCATGCCAAGAAAAATGTATAAAGAAACTTCTTAATAAAAAGTATTATGCTTAACGTTTAATAAATAAAATAAAATTTCACTTACCTTTATTTGTTACTTATTTTTCCATTGATAAACTTCAAAGCTTGTCTGCCGTACAAGTAGTGGAGGAATTCCACTATAAAAAATCCATACTTCGAATTTTTCTATTGTATTGTTGGCAGAAATTAAGTCCAACATTTGCTTTTTAAATCCGTTATATTCAAATCATTGTTTTCAGGCCGCGTCAATAAGTCCTGTCAGCTAGTCTTTTGTTGTTAGTTATCAGAAACCTCCGCGAAATCTATTTTATTCTTTCCGTTTTCGTTGCTTAAAATTGATTTACATGCAAATCATCAGGGAACCTTTAGAACGTTAAAGAACCCTCCATTAGTAAATTATTCAGTTCAACACTCCTAATTATAGTTACGTCATTTTAAATTAAGGCGTAACAATAAATGCGTTGAAATGGTAGCGATATAGTAAAACAAATGAGATAATCGTTATAAAATTGTGTTATATGCAGTGACAATAAGGTGTGGGCATGAATCGTTTCTGTGCTAAGAAGCGACATTCATTAAAGAAATTACTTAGATGGCTGGTAAAGACCAACACAAATCAAAGATACAACATGTAATATACAATATTCAAAAGATA